AAGAGGAGTTGAAACCTGGCTGATCGCAGCTCATCTCTGACGTTTCGGTGATGCACACTGTTGCGCGATAGGCGCGCCTGCTTCTAGGCCTGCAGGGTACCCGACTGGCTCTCAACTTTAGACTATTTTGGCAGATCCAGTTAGACATACCGTCACTTACATCATCTGCATGCAACGTGGCAGAATGAGACGCAAGCACGATGTTTCACGCGCTCCCAGGTATGCCGGTGATGTGATCAGTCTCGATCTCCTTCATAGGCGCAAGACAATGGCTAGAATAAGCATTTGACTTAAATGAGACGAAGTTAATGGTCCTTGAGCAATCGCGGGCTTTCATACATACCCATTGGATTTAGTCTCCACATACGGTAGCGCCCGCACACAAAACGTTGATCGAGATGGCGACTGCTAGCCCAGACAATGTAAGAGTACATTTGTATTTCCGATCCATCATCTGATCGAGCAGTGAATTAACCTGTCCAAGTACAGAACCCATATCAAGTATCGCATGTGACAGATGTGGTGCATGCAATCCATCACGACCTGGCACAATTGAGAGCAGACATGATTATTCGCTTCGATTCCGTCGATGGTTTTATCGCAGCACCAAATGATCGCATTATTGTGATGGAGAGAAATGCCACAGACGCTCTACAGGAGTGCCTTAATGATAGACTGAACCACGTCGGAACTCGCATAGATGCTACTCGAGATCATCTTCAGGGCAGCTTGGCTCAGATACAGAATGTCACGACAGACCTAACCCACAGCCTGCAACAGGTCCAGGACAATATGAATGAATCACAGCATCATGCAAATGACAGGCTGGACGGGCTCGACGATAGGCTACAACAGCTCCAAGGCAGCATAGATGCTTCAGAAAATCACACACGCGACAACCTGCATCAGCTTCAGGTTGACCTAGAACACAGCGTCACACAGACCAGTGGCCACATAACACAACAAATTCAAGGTATCATAGCCACCTCAGAAGAGCACATTAGTGACAGTCTACAACAGGCCCGAGGTGATATAGCTGCTTCGCAAAATCATCTTGATGGCAATTTGCACCAGATCCAGGTTGACCTTGTAGGCGTGCTTGGGCAAACCCGAACCGATTTCACGGCGCATCTTAATAATAGACTAAACCAAGTTGATGACAGCTTACGACAGACACAAGCTGGAGTTGTCGCTTCTAGAGCCGACCTGCAGGGGCTCCGACTAGAGACACGAGCAGGGTGTGTATTACTATGTTCCTTGTCCACTGTTCGGTAATTGAGTACTTGTAGGCATTTCAATAGCGCTGCGCGTATGGCCAACAAGCTCGCTAGCTGTTGTAGCACTTCAATATCGAGTTTTCACGGGATTGATAACCGGCGCATACCTAATTTTCCTTCGACTTATTCCGAATTTGATGGGCTCCACGGTATGGATGATCCAGACTTTACAAACGTTCTACTCATGATCGCAGGAGAAATAGATGAAATCCTGGGACGTCTGGGAATTAGTACAAATGGCACACTCCTGAAAAGTCAAAAGCGTTTAAAAACTTACCTGGGGCTAAGAAAGTAGCATTAGAACTTGCGGTTGAAAAGCTGAATCGCCCCTCAATGTGGCCTCGATACCTGTCGCCGTTGTAATGGCGGTGCTAGGCCACCGCCTCGAAGAGCAGGTCTTTCAGCCAATCTAGGCCCTAGGTGACGTCGCGAGCGCGGCAGCGACACACCCTCTGGTCGCTATTCTCGCCACCAAGGAACATCAGGAAAACAGCCAAAGGCGGCTCAAAGACCTCCTTCAGACGGTCAAGTCTACTGTGCAGTTGATGATGGCGTTTGTGCGCGGTATTGTCGGATATGGTCAGAGATAGAGCGTCTGGAGGACAAGGCTAAGAGAGTTTAGATGTCGATGTGTCTGAGCTGTTGGAGCTGGCAGATGCATGCGTCCCAGCGCCAAAGTGAGAGCACTGACAACACTCCGACGTCTTTGTACTGAGCCAAACAGGAGGGACTATGCCGGCAAGTGGCACGCCTAAAGAAGCCAGGAGGAATGGATGATACGCCACTCAGGACAACAAAGAGCAGCCTCTAGGGTTAGCTCTAGTTAGGGTTGTATGTGTGACGGCATCGTGTATGATACTGAAATCAGCTGGTGAGTGAGCTGATGGAACGGTGTTGCATTTTGAGCCTCTACGGAGCCAGTTCTACTGCCGCCACTGGAGGCGTCGCCGGTTCCTACAGAACCGCGAATAAATGTCTACACGAAAAATTCAATGTTTTCACATCTTCCTTGACAAGTAACTAGGTCGGGCCGTTTGAGATGAATGTTTGTCGATAATGATCGGGGTATGGGGGATGCTGTCGTTGACACTATAAATGACCATCCAGAACTGCTAGATACGGAACAGACACAATATTGTCAAGAATTCTGCTTGATGCTTTGATCTGATGATGCGCGGCTACTCGAGTTTGGCGAGCTATAGCCGGGTACCAGTCAGAGCCAGAAGGAGAGGACTTAGACGTTGAACAACACATAGTAATGATTGAAATGCTTGTCTGACTTTGTAACGCGATGATTCGCCACAACAGGGGGCCATCTTTTCTTGCATCATGTTCAGCCCTATTATGCTGCTAAATCCTGTGCGAGTGCCCTGAGTGCCCCACCAGCCGATCGTGGAATTGGGAGCTCGCAATCCTGTTGAAGATCAACCAGTTCGATCTGGTCTGCCGAAACAGCGAGGTTTCCTAGCGAGCCTCTAGTGTATGGATGAGGCTAAACGAAATGCGGAATCACCTTGGATCCGTCGTACTGCACTCAAGTTCTGCTTGCGGGACGCAATGCACCGGGCGGCCGTGGAATTTGGTGCTAATAATAAATGCTAGCACGAGGTGCAGCTGAAGGTTGGCGAGCACAGCGCCGTATGCCAGGTATTCTCGAGAAGGTAGTAACCGGAAGCTCTGCGGAGAGGGATTGGTACAAGCTCTAGGCAGCAGTGTTGGACGAACTGCTCCTCATGACCAAGCACGGCCAACGCACAATACTCCCCGTGACTGACTGATCACAGGTCAACGCACGCGTTACCAGTACTTGAGCTAAATAGAGCTCAGCACTGTCGATTGATGGGTGAGGTTAATTGTTACTGTACATGTAATTGACCCCACCCCGACCGGAGTCATCGAGCTGCCCAATCCTCATACATCTCTTCGACATTCTTTGCCTCTCCATTTCCGTCCACTTTCCTGTACATGTATGGTGTCTCTTGCTTAGCTCTATCCTTTTATCATAAGATTGTGCACAAACTTCCTGATCGTCACGCTTTTGTCGGTTCTATTGTGGCTACGACAGAGATGTTCTAGGCCCTGTAGTACCTAGGCAGAGGCGCTGGACGCTCCCCTTGTTTAACTCCCCGCAGCGTGAATAAGGCCTGTATCGAAGCCTCTCTTTCCTTTACGATCGACTACCAAAACGTAACGCAAACGCAACTAGCTGCGACCTATGCTCACAAGCGAGAACGCGGAGATATTAGCTCTGAGGAACTTCGTCAACTCTGGCGAGGCTGATGGCGATTCTACCTGTACTACTGTTGTGTGCAGAGCACGATGAGGCGCAACCCTACGAATTAATGGCACTTCCTCCTCAACCTTGGTAGCCGCTGTTTCGGCCTCTAAGGCTATGAATGAACTAAAGAGGAGAAGCCTGAGAACAATTCTTAACTGCTCCTTTCTGTCTCATGGTGAGGATGTCTTCATACGGGTCTCGTCTTCATTGCGTGCCCTCGGAATGCAGCTTCGTCCTGGGCTCCTAGTAACCTAGATCCATTTGCGCCTAGGAAAAGTCATGACTAAACACTGTATGTTCGCCTTCATTCACTTCTCGTCTCCTCTTCGCCTCTATCGTCCACTCCATCCGCCTAAAACATCTACCCCGCTCGCGACTCGCCCCCACCCCCCCCCAGGGTCCGGCGTCGATTCGAAGCCGCGCGCTTTTAAACGAAGAGGTGATAACTTCTTTCTGATCGACTGGCAAACCTGACGAACACTAAACCTACAGCGTTGTGTCGAACAAGATGAGGCGCCGAGAACGAGGCGACAGCACCATCGTCGCACTTCATGCTCTTGTCTGTAGACAAAGATCTATTTCGGCTTCGTCTTCATGTACTTCACGTGCTGTTGAGTGTTGAATTACCTATTTGACCGCGGGAGATGGAGGGAGAAGGAGCCAGTCGCGGGAATATTTGTAATTTGCCCCCAACTTACACGAGCCGGCCTGTTGGAAATACTGACGACGCTGTGACTGCGCTCTTTCTGCCCATAGTCAATGAGAAAACCCCGCAATCTAGGCCACCAGGGCTCGGCGGTGTAGCAAGTATGAATACGTTCTTACCGCCCAGCCGTCTCCAGTAGCCGTCATCAGGAAAGAAGCCTCCTACCCAGGTACTGCCTCCGGAGCAACAGGGCGCACACACGGCTGCCACCGAAGCCGTCGTCGCCGTCTTGACATCCGGTGTACCCCACGACTTCTGTGCTTTCTGCTTCACTTAACGAATCTCGGATGACGGTATCACGGATGCCGGCTCGGATGTCGATCGGCTGGTAGACAACCAACCCGCTCCCACCGACACAACTCCACCGTACAAGAGAGAGAGCTGGGATCCTCTCGAGCTGGGATCCTCTCGAGCTGATACAAAACGTTGCAATACTTTAAGAATTGATAGCTCTTCACAGTTGAGCTTAGATGCGCTGATTCAAATGACAAGCGCTGGAGTTACGATCCCAGGTGTTGCTGAGATTTTCACTGCATATATCAGATCGATTGTTTTGATCAGAATCTAGGACATCAATTTTTCTGTATATTCGAAAGGAAGCATATACATGTGCTCCTAGAAACCATCGTTTTTACCGCTAGTAGATGGCGAGCTCATCGCTGCATCTATAGCTACCTCCACCTTTTGTGCCGGCTTGCGCTGGAACGGACCGTTGTATTAATACACTAGTACGCGTGGTTTAGATAAGAATACACTAGATATGGTTAGGCTTTGGTCTTTACTGAATATGACTGTCGACTCACATCAACACCGCACACAATAGCCTTGCATATGCCATCGATAGCATCGCCACGTCCTGTGCAGAAGTCGATACAAGCCTTGCAGGACCCTTTCACTTCGCCCTCGCCATCGGTAGGGGTGCCATTTCCACCGGCACTACCACCGGGGCTGCTGGCACCGCTGACATTCAAAGAGATGTCGTTGCTATTGCCGTTGCTATTGGTGTTGTTGTTGGTGGCGGCGGCATCGGTGGTAGTGGAACCCTTGGCTGAGGGCTCGCAACCAGCGCACTGTCGGGGCGTAACAGGGGAGGTAGCAGCCAAGGCGGCAAGGCCGGCGAGAACAAAGTAGTATGCCTTCATTTTTATATATGGAATTGATAGGATTAAGGCAGGAAAAGAGATTGTGTTTGACAAGAGAAACTGAAGGAAGAAGAACTGTAGGCTTAATGAGTGATGAACCTGTTGATCAAATTCATTGTTGCTTCTGAGGATTCCCATGCCCTTATATGTTGCCTTCGCCGACATTGAGAATGTCTTCGTGATTTGGCAATACTATATCCATGTCAAAGTGAAGCTGAAAATCAACAACTCTACCCAAGTGCATTCCAACGATTGATTACTAGACTCTGGACAAAAATGCCCGCACAGGCCACTTTGTAGATCCTCCCTTTAGGTGTGTGGCTTATTTCGTCAACTGCCTGCCTGCCTATGTACTCGATCCACTCGCGTAGGTGGGACCATATAGAGGATATGTCTAACACATGCGGCAAATGATGCTCGATTAGGCCACAAAGCAATGTTGACGAGGACTGATCTCAAGCAGCGCCACTAAACATTCGAAGCAGTGCAGGTCTGCCAGCCATGGAAAGGCTCGGTTTACTCGGGATTATATTACTACGGAGTCAACGATTCTTCGTCCGAACCCATCACAATCTCGGGTTTGTAAAGCCTCGTTTCCATCAGCTTTATTGTACCGGCAATCAGTACCCTGATATCTATGCAAGGTCTCTGGATTAATTCACATTTGTTAGAGTACTAGCACCGAGGCAACACAACCCATATATTCCTCGAAACAATAGCAAACATTCTATCACTGCTTTAGTCTTTTTTTCGTCGCGGTGGTAAACCCCGGAATGCATACCTAACAGACGTAGCATTTAGGCCAAAGGCTGTTTCTCGTATTCAAGAAGACATTCCTTGTCCTGAGACTGTAACATCATGGTCGTGGTTAGATCATCTTCAATAATGTTGGTACTTGACCTAGTATGCTCTAAGACCCTTTATCATGTAGCCTCCATCTATAGTATCGCCGCTGTTTAGCCGCACTAGGTATCTCTCTAGCCCAACAAGAATGTCATTGAAAGGCATGGGTGTGATAGATCCATTGAATTGAAATAAAAAGGAGGCAGGCCAATAAATTCCATCTTGGAGTACCTCCTGGGTGTATGTGGGTCGGAACAAACCTCTCCAGGTTCAAAAATGAGAAAGAGTACTTGGCGCAGGATGCAAATGCATGGACTCATTATGAGTCATCCCGCGCAATACCCGAATGGTCTAGCAGTCTGGTGGAGGTAGAGCACACAAGCCATCTGTAGGAGACTTTGCTGCTGCCCTCACAAGGACGAGCCCAGTTTTCTCCCTTGCCGATCGTACATGTGCATAAATGCTCAAAATTTTCACGAGCTAGATATACGCATCTAGGCGAGACTCTGTACTCACATCGGGCCCGCCAGTTCAGCTACGGTTCATGGGATTGTTCCAGTCTTCAGAGGTTAAAATCCTTCCTTCCGCATCCGGGAGTAAACAAACATCGTGTTATGGAAAGACCCAAAACAATTCCGGAGATGCAAAACATGCAGGTTAATCATAAATTCCAACAGGGATGATTCCCATTTTATATATATAAGAGATAGCAACGAAGCCTCTAAGATGTATTATCTTGTTTTCTAGCTGCAATTAATCCGCCGGGCTGCACGTATACCATCATCTAGTCATTCGTTATGAATTACCTTTTGCTTCTCCTTTCTGCTTTATCTCTGGCAGCAAGCCAGAACCTTGATAGGGATGGAAAACTGTGTCCCATTCACGTTGTCGTCAACCAAATTGTGCTTGTACATAAGACACCTGTTTATGTCAGTGCTCACATCTGTGAAGAAACAGCCCTTGTTGTTGGCGGCACCACAATCCATGTGACCAATGCCCCGACTTTCCTGGAAACGGGGTTCGAAATTGCAAATACTATCACCATAACTTCTACTATGTAAGTTGATCTGCTTTTTCCAAAACAGATATGTGTCAAGACAAGTTCGCTTTACTGACTGAAGTTGACAAAGGACCCCGCCTGGCGACTCCAACGGACAACCTCTCATTCCTGGTGCTCCATCCACGGGCAATGCACCTGTCAAGCCTGGAATAATTCCTGGTGGTTCGCCTATAGGAAACGAACCCGGAAACGAACCTGTTAAACCGGGAAGTGCCTCGACCCCCACCCCCAATAGTGATACCCGGAATCCCAGCGAGCCGTCAGCGGGAAATAATCCTTCGAACGGAGCCAGCACTGGCTCAGACAAATCAAGCGTTACTAGTTCGCCCTCAAGCTCCGCAGCGTCAAGCGGAGAAATATCTACTTCTAGTTCTAATATGGAACCGATATCAACGACGGGACCCTCCAATTTAGACAGCACGACTGATTCTCTCAACACGGGCACAACATCTCCTACGGGGTCTTCTATTACAGGTACCACGACTATTCCTGTTAGTTCAGGCATAATATCAACTACGGGGCCCTCCAGCACGACTTCTCATCCAGGGTCGACTCCGCCACCAGGCAACAACACACCGACGACAGTACCCCCAAGCTCGACTACCAGCCTGTGCATTGTAACAGCCACCCCTGTTCCCGAGTGCTGCATCAACGAGCTTCCTACAGGGTGCGAGCCTCTCGAGACCACTAATGGACCGGCTCTTGAACCTATCATTCCAGCGTGTGAAAGTGCTCTTGAGCCTTACCTTACTCAGGATATGAAGGACTGTTGGGCCGGAAATATCACAGATCAATCTCGGGGCACCTACATTGCAGATTGCCTTGAATACGAGCTGGAATTAACCTGTATCACAGAGCTCCCTAGCGACTGCAAGGAGCTCGGCGATGCGACCGGTTTCGCGGTACCTGCCGGAGCAGCCAAGTGCCGCGAAGCTCTGGGTCCATTTGTCCACGGTACATCTGCGCCTTGTTTAGATGAGGACAACATCACAGATGCTACACAGGGAAAGAGCATAGTAGACTGTCTTGAGGTTGCTTTTGGTTTCCGATCTGGTCCTGTCACAATTACCGATGGAGAAATCTGTCCTCGCACTACGAGCGTTGTATAGCATCATTAATAGACTAGGTGATCCAGTTTAATTAATCATAATTTCGGTTATTTGTCCCTGCTTCTCTGAACCTAGCTTTTGCTGTGCGCCTTTTTGGGAAGAAATCCCCGGAATACTGAAATACTCCGACGAGAAATGTAAATATGAAGAATGATATTTGACCATCCAATGATATTGTGGTACATCAACATCTTTTAAAGCGTCAAGAGGATGAGAAGAAGAAAATTCAAATGTGTAATGAGAATATGCCGCACCAGTACAGGCAATCACTGACTGGGCAGGAGGCTCTTTCGTTGTGGCCATACCGTCACAACGAACATACCTTGCGAAGGAATGTGGGAAAAGGTGAGAAGGATTAGAAGAAAGATTTCTTCCCATTCACACGTCAATAGTCGGCAATCAGCCCTATTTCGTATCGGCCCGAACTTGTAGTTCTATGCCAATCCATACGACTTCGTCAGATCAAAGGTAAGAGCAGCGGGTAAGTAGGGCTCATCAAGTATCAGGGGATCGACTGATGTTAGGCCTCTGCGCGTTCTGTGCCTCTTGCTGATGTTAATGAATGGCAGTGGTGAGTTGGTCAGACTGCTGAGCTTCCTGGACTACCTTGCCTAGACCTGCCGGCCTTGCCGTAGTATTCAAGCAAGGCAAGGCCCCACCTTGTCAGAGACAAATAGACCAGGATACTCAAGACCCGTGTCAAAGGTACCCCAACCAACCTATCGTATTTTTCTAGGGCAGATTCAGGCTATTACCTAGACGAAGAGATCCGAAAGCAAGAATGCTGAGACTAGCTCAGATCATCTAGCCATAGAGCAGTGATGGATAAGGTGAACCCAATAAATTCGTATCAGTGTTTAGATCTTCTCACTTCCATCGTTGTATCTACAACCGTCTCATACATATTCCAGGACAAATTATGGCATGTCAAACTGACGTTCTGCCTCTGAAATGTGCAGTGAGCGCAATATGACGAAGAGGGAGTAATTATCAGATAGAGGCCTTCCTTCCTCCTGCTGTTTCAGACGCTTCACATGGGCGCAATATATTACGTACTCAGTTCAGCTCTATTTTGAGTGACAGGCGTGCCATCAGCCTCAGATCTTCACTCATTTCGTGCAGGTTCCACACTTTATCACATCCTGCCAAGAGTGTTGGGCAGGCTTTACGCCGCATCCAGGCGCGGGAGTATCCGCTTTTTATGCATGTTTCTTGTTGTTTCAGCTGTATCTAATGTGTTCCGGCCCGGGAATAAAGGAACACGGATGGGCTAATTCGCTGAGACTTCCTCTGAGACTGTCTTACATGCCCTCAGCTAAGGCCAAGGCTACCCCGCCTCCATCTGACAGGAAGGCTGAAGGTAGAGTCACTCATCTCAAGACGCCGAAGACGGTGTCAGTCCGTGCCTAAGGACCTGCCATGTTGGGAAGTGAAAGGTTGTCATGAATTTAATAATACGGATCATGGCGCCTGAATCGGTAAATCAACTGAATGCCAAGCATCGAGACAAGCCTTGGGTTTTCGTACAATCTGCCAACTCCCCTAGATCAGCTGGAGAATATTCTTTCTCTTGAATTCCTAGGCATATGTGTATGCAGGCCGTCTCCGTCTAGATATGGAAATTGATCAGAAACCTTTTTACCGAATTAAGCCCTTAGGCTTCTCTTCAGCTACAGCCAGGCGCGCATCATCACTTCAGCAATGCCTTGGCTTCCCGTTCTGATCACGACTCGATCGAAATTACGAGATGTAAAGACACCAGTAGGTTTTGAACAGGTTACTGCCTTCTTAAAAATTAAAAAAAAAATAAAATAAAATAAAATAAAATAAACTATACGCTCATACTTCTATTTCGCCGAGTGACCGGATCCCACATATTCGTCTCTCATATCTTCACGGATGATCAGCCCCGGGTATGTATTCCTTCCGGCATCATAACTCACCGGAATTATCAAATCACTCTATCCTGAATGCAACAACAAAATTAG